GATTTTCATAATAATATCTAATATTTCATAAGAATATTGATATGTAATTTGTTTTCCTATTCAATTCTTTTGTCTCCCAAAATGTGTAATAAACATGCTTTTAGTCCTGGTGTCCTCTACAGTGGACATGTATGAAATTATGTCCTGTTTCATAACAGAAGGTTTTGATTTGAAACCCCATAACATTTTCCTGAGATGTTGATTTATGACAAACAATTTGAAAATTAATCGGATTTAAATTATAATTACAAAATATTATCATATTTCCATAAGGATGTACAATTTTATCACTACATTAATATCAGCCATTTTAAAAACCAAGGAGAGGGAGTGGTCACGGTGAAACTTCCAATCATTTGGTATCTCTGGAAAGCCCTGAATGTGCTCCGTACAGGACATCCAGACTTACAACTGTGACATGTGAGGTCTCAGAGAAATGCACTCAAATATAATGTCCACGATTTAACTATTTAAAAACTGATAATGGTTGACCGCTTATCTGAATATTGCCTATAATGATTTAAAAGGGGACATGTCTATACATTAGTCAGATTATTTTCAATAGTTAAGTTATTACATTGTCCCCTTTTTATTAGGTATGTGTAACTATTCAATTAATTCTAGAAAAACAGAATTGATGCATGCAGTAAATATTTGAATTGTTGCAAATAACAAAAATAAGGAGTCCGATCAAATGTTATAAGTCGGTTGTGTTTACAGTACTGATTTTGTAATATCGCATCATTGCCAAACCAAGTTAAATAACCCATCATTTTTGTCTAATGGTACTTTTAATAATTCTTCTTTTATTTTGAAGCTAATTATAATGAGCTGTATCAGTGGTCTGTGGACAGTTATCCAGAGTTCTGGGCACAGGTTTGGAGATTCTGTGGCATCACTTGTTCAAAGATGTATGAGGAGGTAAGTTTTATTTTCCCCTCATGTTTTTGTCCTTTATATATTAATCACCTTTTTTCACATTTAAATCTGTTGCCATTTAGAGGGTTTTTGCTTGTCATTTCCTGTTGTGTAATGAGTGGCACCCAGGTTCACATTGCCACAAATTGATGTCACCATGATAATGAATAATTAATAGTGTGGACTTCAACTAAGAAATCTGATAATGTAGTAGTTGTCACGTTGTGATTGGTTTTCAGTCTTACTTCTGTGGAGGTATACGTGCAATAGATGACAAACTCATCATTAGTCACACATGAATCATGTAACTTTATCCTAGTAAACATTTATGAATTTATTACCATTTAGAACTACTGTCTGAACTACTGCTGGGAATATTTAAAGCTCATATCATACTTCTGGCTAAGAGGGTGTGTTGGGGCTAAGACAGCTGTAGTTTTACTTAAGGAGGGTCAAATGGTAAAACATAATAAAACAACATATGTTTGTTCATATCAAAGAAGGGTGGTGGCTAGAATGCCTTCTTTCAAACCAGCTTAAATAAAACATTTAAGTTTAGTACTAAAATGACTAAAACTGAAATAAAAATACATGGAAGCTAAACAGAAATTAAAAAAATAATTAAGTAATGCACTGCTAGGTGGTTGTCCTGCATCTTCAAAAAATAACAAAATGAAAATATAAGAATAAAGGCTAATTCTAAACACCAATAAATACCATAAAGTACATAAACATGACTAAAATAGCCCTGTCTCAAACGGATGTACAGATGTTTGCACAAAGAGAGATGATTTTAAAAGGTGCTTCATCAAACAGGCTGATGTGTGACCTCGCTCGCTCTCCGTTTCAGGTGGTTGATGTGTCTAAAAGGATATCTGATGTCCCCGAGTGGTTTAAAGGCAGCAGACTGAATTATGCAGAGAACCTGCTCAAACACAAAGACCAAGACAAAGTGGCTCTCTATGCTGCAAGTAAGTCACAGCCAATCTCTGAACTACCCAAGTTTATTACTCGGCTCTCGTTCAGCGTTCTGTGGTCAAAACAAGTTTTGTATAAACTATTACTGAGCATGCCCCTGGTCAGCATAATTGCCTAGACTGTGCTAGTTTCACTCTGAATGAAATGATGTAATCTCAAATCAATATTTCATATCTATTTATTTATTTACTTGCTTGGTAAGTAGCCGGATAATAAGCAGTAGAGGTCTACACGGGTCCAAAAATTCGACCCATAAATGTGCTACACTGAACCGACCCGGACCCGTCTATTATTTTGAAAGTTGGACCTGGGCCCGTGCAGAACCGAGAAATGTCAAAAATGTACTACCCGGAACCGACGCGGAACGTCAATTATTTGAAAGATGGACCCGAACCCGGCCGGGAAGACACAGACCCGACTGGACCCGATCGGCACACATTCCACAGCAAATTGCTATTAACAAGTCGATAAACAAGTTGCGAAAATTAAACTTTTTGTCTTACCTAGTGTAAGAAACCTTCTCCTGTGTACCTGACTGTGATGCACACAATCCTCCTTTTCCAAGAAAGTTCCCTCCGTGTTGAATTGAAATTGAAATGCGTAATCCACTCATTACTCCAGTTTCAAAAGTCCACTTGCTGTCACGGTGACGGATGACAAATGCGACTTTGCAGTTTTGCATTTTTTGTATCTCGAGTCCACTTGCATAATAATTTAGACTGTTTGCCCATTTGGATTATAATAAGGATTGCTCGTCCAGTGCCACGTTAGCTTTACTTATTTGCTATCATCTCTGTGCTCTCTGAGCCGAGTCTGAGCAAACATTTTAGATATAACAACAAGACGGTTCATTCATAAATTAAAAAAAAAAAAAAATCAGTAATAACTCACATCACTCATGAAGGTATCCATTATCACCGTGCGTGTGCATTAACTCCGCCCACCCTGCTTGTGTTTTTTTCACCTTATTTCAAATTACCGACTCACACTTTCCTCATCCTAATTTTACAAGTTGAAAGTTACAAAACAACACACGCACAGCGCTGACTGAGTCTGATAACGACCAGGTGTTCTCCGAGTCCGATCGACTCTGGTATTACACACAATGTTAAACAGACCCGGGACCCGAAGTAATAGATTGGGACCCGACCCGGACCTGGCTGACCGTTTAAAATATAGCCTCGAACCCATACGGGTCCCGGGTCCTCGGGTTTTGGGTCCTCCGTGTAGACCTCTAATAAGCAGGTTAAATTGGACACTATTGCAAAATGCACCCTTTCTGGTTGATCCTGATGCTTCTGCCTGGGTTTATTTTTTTTGATAATAAACTGTCTGACTGTATATTGTCCATAGTGAATACAATGAGAAAAATCTGATGTTTGATGCTTCATTATGCCGAGTGTCTTATGGCGTAATGGAGTATTTTGTCTGTTATTTCAAGAGAATTTGCAACAAGTTTTTGCAGAAGTCATGACATAATCATAATCATAATCGGCAGAACTGAATTCAGTGGCAGTCATCCAGGTCATATAAAATCAGATAATGGTGATACACTCCCAAATTGCACTCTCAAGCACAAGCAATACTAATCTTTTTTTTAACTCTCTTATTTTTCTAAGAACGGCATCAACTGCATTCAAACCCTGGTTGCCATTGCATCTTTTCTTTTTCTTCTGTTAAACATTTCATTACACATTTTATTACCAGTATATCTCCAAGACCAAACGTCTCCCAATTCAAAACAAGATTCTGTATGTCTGCTGATCTCCTTGAGCCTTTGTCAGTCTGACCTTATACACAAATGGCTACTTTAAAATAGCAACAGCGCTGTGTGCATATGTGTTTTATCTGTATAGATAGAATCTGTCATTGCAGTCCTCTGGCTAATGTAACACTAACTGAATTATGCTGTCTGTAATTTGATTTGTGGGTTTCGCGTCTGTGTAGGGGCGGGATGCACGTAGTTGTGCTTTTATATTGTGATGGATGTCCTGATGCGGTCCAGGAAAAAGCGGGTGTAATTACCAAAGTGGCATCTATCAGAAATGTACCTGTGTCATTGGCTTGTGTCTTCGTGAAATAAGGAGGCTCATTTACCTGAAAAAGTAGATTACATAGGACTCTGAAGCGCAAATTAAATTTAACACTTCGTTTGCTGATTACGTACAGTAATGAAAAACATTACCCGAGCTGCCTGCGACATCTCTGATGCACCACAGTCACAAATGGCAAAGAATTCTCTTGTTGATACGGTATGCACTGATAATGTAAGCCTAAGGTAGATTTAATTATAATGGAGACTATTACAACAGTCAATACACGACTGTTTGAAAGTTTGGGGTCAGTCAGATTTTTATGTATTTAATTTAAAAAAAAATAAATATATATATTTTTTATTATGCATTAAATTGATCAAAAGTGTCAGTCACATTTATCATCTTGCAAAAGATTTATATTTTGAATAAACACTGTTCTTTTGACATTTCGATTCGTTAAAAAAAATAGGTCACACTTTATTTTAAGGCCCGATTCTCACCATTAACTACAAATTTTGCCTCCATAAACTCCTAATTTGCTGCTTATTAATAGTTAGTAGTGATTTGGGATGTAGAATATGGTCATGCAGAATATGTGCTTTACAAGTACTAATAAACAGCCAATATGTTAATAATAGGCGTGCAAATAAGCAACTAGTTAATAGTGAGAATTGGCCCCTGTACTGAAGTGTTACCAACGAATATGAAAAGATAATATATCATGATTTTCACAAACACATTAAGCAGCACAACTGTTTAATCAACGGTACTGAAGAAATGTTGCTTGAGCACCTAATCAGCATATTAGAATGATTTCTGACACTGCTGTTTAAAACGAATCTTTTCCATCACAGAAGTAAATTTCATTTTGAAATATATTCAAAGAGAAATTGGTTATTTTAAAATGTTAATATTTTGCAATATATATATATTTTTAAATAAACGCAGCCTTTGTGAGAAAAAGGGATTTCTTGCAAGCATAGGCCTATTTAAACATCCCAAATTTTGAATGCTAGTGTTTATTATGATGGTTATTATTAAGAAAATGTAACTAAAATAGGCCTACCTTTAAGTAATAATAAAATAATTATTATTTTATTTTAAAAAGTATTGTCGTCTTCATTTTTTTTATTTATTATAGCATGTTTAAGATTGATAAAAGTTACAATTAAAAAAATAATCTTTTTTTTTTTTAAAGCCGAGGCAAAAGAGGAGATCGTCAAAGTGACTTTCGGAGAGCTGAGACGTGATGTCGCTCTCTTCGCTGCTGCCATGAGGAAGATGGGCATCAAAACTGGAGACAGGGTCGTAGGTGAGCATCACTTCCCTTTCTCTTTCACTTCGTCTGTCTCTTATTATTTTGTGTTGTCCTTTCTCAGTCATCCATTTGACACCCACATGACAGCAGTGGAATGAGGAAATACAAGTCAATACTGAACCAAATACAAGAAAATCTAACACTGTTTTATATTGCATCGGGCCTAGGCACTCTAACCTGTTTTTCCTGCCCTCTTACTTTGCTTTTTTTATTCTGTCCTTGTTTGTCTTCATGAGTGTCCCAACTCTTAGCCAGGCAGTCGCTCCTGAAATCACAAACTCCCTTATTCTGTCTCAGTTCTGGGGTTCAGCCAGAGCCATTCATGGCTGTGGAAGGATAATAAGGGGGGCCCAGTTATACCGTGGCGAGGGTAATTAGTCTAAGCAGTGCATATATATATATATGTATGGTATGTATGTATGAATGTATGAAAATCCAAATTATTTTTACAAATATTTTTAATATTTAAAAAATAAAATAAATGCAAGAACCATTTTCCGAGTATGTGTAGGTCCCCTTGTGTGTGTTTGTGTGTTATGAGTGGCTGCTGTTAATGTAGTCCAAAGCAAATTTCCCATAGTGGGACAATAAAGTTTAAAGTTATCTGTAATAATTATTAGCTACATAAGAACATTTAAATTGCAATGAAAATATGCATGTTAATTCTGCTGTGAAATTCCTGGACTACTGTGCCCTTTTTATAAATATATCTACGTGGATGCAAACATGACTGTGTTCACAGAGGTGTGTCTGTTTTTAGGAGTGTGTGTTATGTGACGTAAAAGTGCAGAAGTTTACATGTATTGATCCTGTTAGGGTGTGCAGTTCTGTGTGTGTGTGTTCATGTATAAAGTGTGTTTCTCTCTAGAGTGTCCTTGTCTGTCCCCTTGATTTACAGCGTGTGCATGAGTAGGAGAGAATATATGGCCACTTTGCAGATGAGGCCAAGGTTTATTGCCGCAGTATCATCTAGCTAATGGACATCATCTCTATTCTGTGCTGCTTTCCGTCTTTCCTTTCTCTATTTCGTTCAAAACACTTACATTTTATTTACATTTAAACTAAGTATTTTGAGCAGGTACTTTCTTACCAAAGTGATTTGTCGAGGCAATAATATTTAAGTTGAGCCTCAAATATAGCCACAAACTCGAAGAGAAGTCAAGAGTAATCGCAAGAGTTAGGGTTGATCGGCTAGGCTGCAATTAGGGTTCACTAGAAAAGACAGTAAAATAGCCTGAATGATTAATTTAACTAATTAAATTTGATATATGATATGTAAGACTTGTATATTAGTGAAGTCAAATGCCTTGTTGGTGCATTGGCATTCTCTCTGAGAAATATACTTTCTTTTTTAGTAAAAATTGCAATTGTATTTTATATAGTAGTTGCATAATAGAACCTGTATTTATAATTTCCCACCTTTGTGTAATATTTTTTGATTATACAGTATAATAATTTAATATATTGTGCCTGCGGAGTGCTCACTAAAATAACTTGCATCTCCTAAGAGTCATTCTTGCACAATTTAGGTGATCCATTGCTGTCTGTAATGTGATGTTGTGTGATATATTCTCTCTCTTTACCTCAGGATATCTACCCAATGGGATTCATGCTGTTGAGGCTATGCTCGCTGCTGCCAGTATAGGTGCCATCTGGAGTTCAACCTCTCCAGATTTCGGTGTCAATGTAAGAGCTTTACATGCATAATGGTTGCTATTTTACCATATGACCGCTATATTAAATATATGTTTTTAATCATATAAAATATACAGTGGGTACGGATTTGAGCAAATGGCTGCAATATAACAGAGTGAAAAATTTAAGGGGTTCTGAATACTTTCCATACCCACTGTACATTAAGTGTTTAGCAACCACTTCCATTTTTCTGTGAGATGTGGATCATCAGAACATGTCAAATATACAGGCTAGATCAGGTTGGAAAGGTATTTCACCTTTCATTTTGATCCAGGGAAACCTGAAAAATTTGTCAAAGTTCAAAAATTTTAATGATGATCATAATAAGACTTCATACCATTTTAAAGTTTGGGGTCAGTAAAATTGTTTTAAATTTGGTTTAAAAAAAGTAGCCTCTTGGTAGGGTTGATCCAAGGCTGCATTTAATACAGTAAAAACAGTAATATTGTGAAATATTATTACAATTTAAAATAACTGTTTTCTATTTGACTATATCTATAAAATGTTATTTATTTCTGTGATGGCAAAGCTGAATTTTAGAGTAAATCATTGCTCCAGTCTTCGGTGTCACATGATCCTTTAGAAATCATTGTAATATGCTGATTTTGTGCAAAAATATCTTATTATTATCAATGTTTAAACCAGTTGTGCTGCTTAGTACTTTAGTGAAAACTGCGATACATTTAAGATTCTTTCAATAGAAAGTTCAAAAGAACGGCATTTATTAGCATTATAAATGTCTTTACTCACTTCAGATCAATTCAATGTATCTATGCTGAAAAAAGTATTAAAAAATATATTTTTTTAATTCTGGCTGACTCTAAACTTTGTAATGGTACTGCATAGGGCTGCACGATAAATCGAAATGGAATCGAGATCGCAATTCGACAGAAGCTGCGGTTGTCATGCGTATCTTTCAGTGAAGCACAGTTCTGTGATCAGCAGTAAATCTCCATCCGAAGGCCAGAGAAACTCCAAATACGCCTCGCAGAAGAAACCCAGAAAATGCCTATCGCTGCAGCTGAATAAACAGAAGATTCAACTGCTTTCATTGATTCAACATGACTAATAAACACACGACTACGACAATATACGGTTTATCGGAGTTCTTATTATTATAATTTTCATTAAAATAAAGCATATTTATAATGCAATGCCTTTATCACTGCTTAAATACTATGAAATATGTTGCGTGCCTTATTCTGTGTGAGAAGCCACATCATCTCACAGAAGGATTTATTTCAAACACTCGACTGACGTTATGAAGTGAGTCTGGAGTAAAAATATGTTATTAAATGTGGTATTTTCACATGCTTTCAGATGGAGCAGCATTTACTTCACAGAGCCGTAGTTCACTGAGAGGCTGCGCAAACAGCTGTCATTATCGCGAACGATTTCTTCGATTTCATAATCGCGCAATAAAATCGTCTGCGTAACTTGTCAGTGAACTACGGCTATGTGTAGTAAAGGCTGCTCCATCTGAAAGCACGTGATGATGATTTACTGCTGATTACAGAACCGACATTACTATCAAAATGCGCATGACAATCGCATTCGATTAATCGTGCAGCCCTAGTAGTGCATGTTACACAGAAAAGTATCTCATGTAGCAAATTGTTTGGCTGACTTCTTCCAGTCACTGAAATTTTTAAAGTGCCAGATTATTAATTTGAATACATAATAGATGAAAAACCTGACACTGATGGATGCAGTGAGTGGTGTGGAGAAATCCTTTCCTGATGTATGAATATCAGATTTGGACGTCTGGCATAAAGAATGAATCTGAATGCCCTCAGCTGCCAGGCATTGCTGTACTACGCAGACCCAGCATTCATGTGCCCACATGCCTTCATACTGACACTGGGGCAGTTTGTTGTCATGAGCTTCTACTTTGTTCTCATCTTGTATTTTAAATGCAATCTATATATCCCACTAGCAAAAATGAGTAAGAATCCACTGGTCATATTATCGCAACCTGTCTGTCCCCATGTACAAAAAAAATAGGTCATCTAACCGTCAATTCTGTCTGTATTCAAATGTGTGTGTGACCTGTTAGCTATGTCAGACATTCTGTCTCACACACACACACACACACACACACACATTACTTCTCACTCCTGCCTCTCTCTCTCACATACACTCTCCTATGAGGAGATTAAAGTAAGTCTACAGCCCCCTCAGGGCCGAGGTTATTCCATAAATAGGACAGGCTCTAGCAGATAAAGCAACATAGATTCACCGTGGCTTATTGACTAAAGCAAACTAACTCAGTGTATACATTGCTGCCATCTGTGGTTAAGTCAGGGTACTACAGCATATTACTGCAGTTAAAGGGACAGTTCACCCAAAAATGAAAATTTGATGTTTATCTGCTTACTCCCAAGGCATCCAAGATGTAGGTGACTTTGTTTCTTCAGTAGAACACAAACGAAGATTTTTAACACAAACCGTTGCAGTCAGTCAGTCATATAATGGAAGTGAATAGGAATCACGGCTTTGAGAGTCAAAAAAACATACACAAACAAAACCAAATTAAACCCTGCGGCTCGTGACGATACATTGATGTGTAAAGACACGAAAAGATCGGTTTGTGCAAGAAACTGAACAGTATTTATATCGTTTTTTTACCTCTGATGCACTGCAATGTCCAAACTGTCCTGCGTGCGTTTGCATCGTCGTCTTCAGCCGGCGTGGTGGCGGTAATGCACTTATAAGTCTGCGATCCACCGTAAAGCAAGAAGAAGAAGAAGACGCATCACGCACTGGCTGTTGAGAACACGCTCAGGAGGACGCGTCGCCGCTCAGGACAGTTTGGACATTGCATGAATCATAGGTAAAAAAAACTATAAATACTGTTCAGTTTCTTGCACAGACCGATCGTTTCGTGTCTTTACACATCAATGTATCGTCACGAGCTGCAGGGTTTAATTTGGTTTTGTTTGTGTATGTTTTTTTGACTCTCAAAGCCGTGATTCCTATTCACTTCCATTATATGACTGACAGACTGCAACGGTTTGTGTTAAAAATCTTCATTTGTGTTCTACTGAAGAAACAAAGTCACCTACATCTTGGATGCCCTGGGGGTAAGCAGATAAACATCAAATTTTCATTTTTGGGTGAACTATCCCTTTAAGTGGATTCAATGTGGCAATTGTGTATATGCTTTTGTTCAAACGTTTGGTCCAAACTCAGTATAAGATTTATTTTCATTCTTTTTATATTCTTTTGAAAAAAAGTCACTAAGGCCGCGTTATTTGATCAAAAATACTGCAAAAACAGTAATATTGTAAAATTTTATTACAATTGAAAATAACTATCCATTTTAATGTTAAAATGTAATTTATTTCTGTGATGCAAAGCTGAATTTTGAGCAGAAATGGCAGTCTTCAGTGTTACATGATCCTTCAGAAATAATTTTAATAGGTTGATTTGGTGCTCAAGACGCATTTCTTATTGTATTAATGTTATACATTTTTTTCAGGATTATTTTATGAATAAGAAGGTGTAAAAGAACAGCATTTATTAGGAATATAAATTTTTTTGTCTTAAAAAAAGTCTTAACTTTTGATCTATTTAATGCATTGTTGCTGAAAAAACATATTCATTTCTTTACAAAATCTTGAAAAAATTATTTCTGACCCCCACATTTTGAACTGTAGTGACTATATATATATATATATATATTAAATATAATATAGCCAATTGTGTGTGTGTAGCATTACTCAGGGTTTTTTTTCTGTCTTTAATTTGTCTCTTTTCATCTTAAGGGAGTTCTAGACCGATTTTCTCAGATCCAGCCCAAGTTGATATTCTCAGTAGCAGCTGTTGTGTATAACGGCAAGCAGCACGACCATATGGAGAAACTCCAAAACGTTGTTAAAGGTTTAAAGCACACATTTCAGCCCACAATTTCCCCATCATTTTGTCTTGTTGATATGCATACATTTCATGGATCCTAATATATATTTCCCCCCCATCATCTCTCAGGTCTCCCTGACCTGAAGAAGGTTGTGGTCATTCCATACGTTCGCTCTCGACAAGACACTGACCTCTCCAAGATTCCCAACAGGTCTGTGCATGATGTGTGTTTACAATCATATTTCAATATATCACATTTATCATATATTGCACTGGTTCTTCCATTTGTATGTAGATGTTCAATTTACTTGACAAAGTAGCTATATTCATTTGTAACACTCCAACTTGGGTCATGCAATAATTAGGAGTTTTGTGTGTAGTGTACTTGTCTTAATACATATATATGAAGAATAAATGACCAACCTTTCCTATATACATACATACACTATCATTCAAAGGTTTGGGGTCAGTACAATTTTTAATTTATGTTTTAAAAGAAATTAATACTTTTATTTAACATGGATGCCTTAAATTGCTCAAAAGTGACCGTAAGGACATTTTTATAATGTTACAATAAGTTTCTAATTTAAACAAATTGTTCTTTTGAACTTTGTACTCATTAGAAAACTCATTAGTGTAACAAGAACTGCTACTTAATCAGCAAATCAGCATATTAGAATGATTTGTGACTGGAGACTGGAGTGATGGCTTCTATAAGTTCACTTTGCCTTCACAGGAAAACATTTTTAAATATATTAAATAGTAAACCGTTATTTTAAATAGTGATAATATTTCACTTTTTCACTTTTACTGTTTTGTATTATTATTTGATCAAATAAATACAGCCTTGGTGAACATAAGAGATTTATAAAAAAGTGTGATTTGATCATATTTTATGACATTTCTTTACTGTTATGCAACCCGTGATCGTGATAATTGCGTTACAGCTGTAAACTACTACTTAGAACACACATTGATTTGTAATCTTCTTTAAAAAGATAGTTCATACAAAAATTAAAAAATTGTCATCATTCGAATTTCTTTCCCTTGTTGAACACAATAGAAGGTATTTTGAAAGAATTTGGTACTTCCATAGATTTTTCAAGTCAGTTGCTATCAGTAACTGTTTGGTTACCAACATTCTTCAAAATATCTTCTTTTTGGGTGAACTGTCCCTTTAAGATGGCTGAATAGGGCACTATTTGTTGATTGGAACGTACCTCATATGAATAAATGTTTGTTATCCTTGTTAAACAGACAGAATAGATCAGTTCCAAGCTTGTCTATGAAGTTATTGTTGGGTGTTTTTCCCCTCTCTCAGTGACAGCTGCTGCTGTATGTTCAAATGAGATCTGAAGTGTTGTCTGGTTAGGATGCAGTCAGTCCTGACTCTCTGTCTCCTGCACTTGTTCTGTCAGTGTGTTCCTGGATGACTTCTTGGCCACGGGTAAAGAAGGGGATCAGGACCCTCAGCTGGAGTTTGAGCAGCTGCCCTTCTCTCATCCTCTCTTCATCATGTACTCTTCTGGCACCACAGGAGCTCCCAAGTGCATGGTGCATTCTGCTGGGGTGAGTGTGTGTGTGCGTGTGCACACACTGAAGACATTGTACAGAGTCTAATTTAAAATATTGTACTCTGTGCAATTACTTGATATATGCATTTTGGAGCACCTTGTTTCAAACATGATGTATAAAGAAAGAAAATACAGATGCAAGCATTTGTTTTGCAGGCGTACTACAAATATCAACAGCTAAATGATCAGTTTATAATGTAGGAACATATTGATGCATTTTATTTGCTTAAAATTGTCTATGTACCCATAGACCGAGTTTGCGGCAGTGTTTTTATTGTTTACTAAAACTATAAAATATTGTTTTTGTGAATTGAAATAAAGCTGAAATAAAACAAAATGTAAATATTAGATGAACAAACTTGAAAAATTAAAATGATAAATGTTTCTTTGGAAATCAACTTCAACTTATTTTAAGGCAAGTTTATTTATATAGCATATTTCATACACAATGGTGATTCAAAGTGCTATACATAAAAAGGTTTTTAAAAATAATCATGGCAGAAATGACAGACATTAAAAAGGATCAAAACAGATGATTAAGAAATAAAATTAACAATAAAAAATGTTAAAATATAATGAATAAGAATAAATAGATGGGTGCAGTGCATTTCATTTGAGTTAAAGTACTAAAATTTGCTAAAACGAAAACTAAATATAAAAATGACAACAGCATATCACAGAATTACACGAATTAACTAAAAGTAAGATGAAACCTGAAAATATAAAAATAAAATGTAATTCAAAATATTAATATTTTGTAAATATAAATTTACATTTAGTCATTTAGCAGACGCTTTTATCCAAAGCGACTTACAAATGAGGACAATGGAACAATCAAAATAATAAAAAAAGCAATGATATGCAAGTGCTAGCAAGGTTTTTTAAAAATTATATAATAAATAAAAAGAAAACCGATAGAATAGAAAAAGAATAGAGCAAGCTAGTGTTAGAGGCCTTTTTTGCTTTTGATAATTGTATAATAAATAAAAAGAAAACAAATAAATAGAATACAAAAAGATTCGATTTTTTTTAAACAAGCAATAAATGAATAGAGTGCAAGTCTAAAAGGGACAAGTTTTTAAAGAATAGAATTAGAATAGAGCGTGCTAGAGTTAGAGGGTCAAATAAAGATGGAAGAGATGTGTTTCTGGATTCATTGTAAAGGTTTGATAGAACTGGTAAATAATATTAAAATAGCACTGATTTGGGGGTGGCACCAAATTTTAGATTAATTTTTGATATCGTTGTGGCTAGAATGTTGTAGTTACAGCTGAACTAATATTTCAGTCTACTAAGTTTACCCTTCCACTTGGTCTGTGTCTTGAACTGCTGTGTGATGTTTGTATGCCAAAAGTGTGTAAAAGCACCTCTTTCCTGTTGATCATCATACACAACATCTCTTGAATAACCAACATTGACCACTAGATGGCAGTAAGCGGCAGTTTTAAAACCTGTTAGGCACTATAAGCTGGATGCAATTGGGATGAGCAATTATGTGCACCATTCTAATCCCTTCTGAATGCATTTCCTGTATAATCGCAACATTAGGGACACAGCAGCTCACATGGGTCTAAATCAGCCTTTCTTTCTCCACATACCCACAATTTCAATTCAAAAATCAGCACTGCATAGAAAATTCATCGAAAAAATCAGGGAAGGCAAAAACACTGGTTGATTTATTTTTTTTATTTTTTATTTTTGTGTGCTTTACAATCACACTTTTTGTGTATAACACGGTGTTTTCATTTTTCACAGCTTTTCCCTTCAGCCTTTGCGGCATTTGTGTCTGACGCCTCTCTTGTGTGCTGGATAATTAGAGCGCTGTGTGTATGAAAACACACAATCGCACATGTACACATGCAGATGCATTTCTCTCTTCTCGCTCTATGGATGATCAATGTTCAGTGTGCTCTTATGAAATCAGTACTCGCGTCGGGTTATGGCAGTTAGCGAATGAGTGAACGCCGCTTGCAATTAATGCTTTCGCAGACGTGTTAGACACTTGTTGCAGGGCATGGTGTTAGAAGAAAAGGAATGCGAGGGTTTTTTAATCCATGCCGTGTCGCTGATCCTTTAGCTCGCTAATTAGGTCGTTCCCTGCCTGCCAGAATACTTCTGAACGTACAACACCAGCACAGGAGAAAGAACTTGAGAAGAACGTGAGATCCAGAAAAATAAACACAATCATCCTCGACTAATGCTTTGTGCTATGTCGCCTCTGATATTACAGACTTCTGTTTTACTTTTCTTAGCCATTTTTCCACTCAAGGTGATTTGTAATGGATGTATGAAGTCAGTTATGTCATGTCAACTCTTGGAGGGATTGGCATGGTAATGTACATGACAATGTTAATGTATTTGTTCTTAGTGGAATAGATCTGCTACGCTGCTGCTGCGGCAGAGCAAGTACCGAGACATGGTACTGCCAATACATCCACAACATGCTGCTGTGAGCATGTAAGAAATATTGCTGCTGCAAATATTACATGCATGAAATAACCCCCATATAGCATACATGAATCACCTCGTAGCAGATCTATACAGGTGGAGCTGGGGAAGGTGGAGGATTTCTGAAGCAAGCTGCAACTGCTACGGCAAGCACTAGTCATACATTTGAATGTTGAGCAGTGAGCTCATTGGCTACCGATACAGGAGAGAACCAATCAGCTGTGCCATGTGATAATGATGTCATTAGGTCAGATTGAGTTAGACCTATCGGACTGCGCCATCTAGAGTTTCATGCCAGAACTCTGTATTTGTCCTGAAGTTCACACAGATGTCCTAGCAAAGTAACCTCTGGTGTGGTTCATCACATTAACAACAGTCTGACCCTTTTGTTCTCTGTTCCCCAGGGCACTCTCATCCAGCATCTTAAAGAACACATTCTCCATGGCAACATGACCTACAATGATATCATCATATATTACACTACGGTATGTATCTGGCATCTTAGATGGTGGAAAAAAGCCTCTTTCTCCAATCACATGCATTCAAAAGTGACTGAATCTCTGTAAGCAGCATAGAGTATGCAATGCCGTTCAAAAGTATGCTTTTCGAAGTCTCTTGTGCTCGCAAAGGCTGCATTTATTTGATTAAAAATACAGTAAACAGTAATATTGTGAAAAATGTATACGTTTTAAAATAACATTTTCTATTTGATAGATTGTAAAATTAATTTTAAATAAGCTATGTGATGGCAAGACTGAGTTTTTATCAGCCATTACTCCAGTCTGCAGTGTCACATGATCCTTCGGAATCATTTTAATATGCTGATTAGCTGCTCTAGAAACATTTCTTATTATTGCCAATGTTTATAACTGTTGTGCTGCTTAATATTTTTGTGGAAATGGTTATAGACTTTTTCAGGATTCCTTGAATTTTGCTGAAATTTTTTTTTTGAAGTCTTTACGGTCACTTTCGATCAATTAAATGTATCCTTGCTGATTAAAAGTATTAGTTTCTTCCAAACATTTGAACATTAGTGCATGTAGATTGCACACTTCTACAGGTGTTATAGAACTCCTTATGTTAGTTTATGATATGATTGATTAATATTATTTTGCACCACCCCCATAGTCTTTGATATTAAATAGTAAAAACAAAATAATTTCAGAGGCAGATAACATTATTACATTTTGATGAAAGGTTATGAACAAGCTCTCTTCTTTAGGATGACGTACACTGATGAATCGTTTACAGTAACACATTTATTAATAAATCGGGTTAACATCATTTTCCATTATGTCTTTGTTAGGACAATGTATTTTCTTTCCTCTATGTCTATTAGTAATGTTAGCAAAATTAAGGTACACATAATTTGCAATATCTGGTTAGTCCTGTGTGATATTCAAAATTATATTTGGGTTGAAATGGTCCATTTTGAGCACTGTTTGTTAAACATTGCTGAGTAGTTGGTGGGTTTGCCGAATCTGGTCAAACTTGGGACAAAAGTGTAGTCTCTGACCCGATCTAAAAGTAGATATCTCTTTATGTGCAGACGGGCTGGATGATGTGGAACTGGCTGGTGTCCTCTCTAGCCGTTGGGGCTTCTGTGGTCCTGTATGATGGCTCCCCTCTTGTTCCCAGTGCTAATGTGCTCTGGGACCTTGTAGACCGTCTGGGGTAAGTAAGTCTATGTGTGTGAGAAAGACATTCTATAATGAAGGTGTCACAGTCAGGAGCTTCAGTCGCTCTCTTTTTTTTTCTCCTCATGCCCGTGCTGTAATTGGCTGAGGTGTGGCAGTGCTTATCACCAGCATCTGCTGTGCCCTTTGTGTAAATGACACCACATCACCACGGCAACCTGATTTAAAGAGATGGGTCTAATTGGCCACCTCATGTGGCATCGAGTTCCTTTCAGAGTTTACCTGTTATTGATCAGAAATGATTGAAGTGCAGCAGACACTGGAGTTCCTTTGGGTCACACTTGGTGTGTGTGTGTGTGTGCTCATTTTCAGCTCCCTTGGCTACTGGTGAAAGCCTCTATTCTTAACTCTCATTGTCTCTCCTCTTCCCAAGAGAAAGAGAATAGAGACATTTTTGCAGCAGCTTTTGGGAAAGCCAAAACACACACATTTGTATTACTCACCAGACCCATTTGTGCTTGAATCACTTCAGAGACATTTTCATTTTTTAATGTTTATTTAGGGTTCACTGTCAATTCAAAATAATATATAATGAATTACTTGCAAATTAATATAATTAATTACACTACCATTCCAGTTTGGGGTCAGTAAGATTATTTTAAGAAATTAATACTTTTAATCCACAAGGATGCATTAGTGGCAATAAAGACATTCTATTTTGATGCTGTTTTCACAAAAATATTAAGCAGCAGAACTATTTTCAACTTTTTAATCATCAGAAATGTTTTTTGAGCAGAAAATCAGCATATTGGAATGATTTCTGAAGGATCATGTGACACTGAAGACGCAGAAAATTCAGCTTTAGCGTTACAGGAATAGTTTACATTTTAAATGTATTAAAATTCAATTCAAGTTTATTTGTACAGCGCTTTTCACCATACAAATCGTTGCAAAGCAACTTCACAGCAAATTAAGTTTCTACAATATTTAGTGGTAGTTTATCAGTGGTGACTGTCAGTTAATGTAGATATGGCAGAAATGTACGGAAAAATCAATTAAAGACGTAATCAAACAGACGATAAACACTATTAACAGCAATTATTATATGATGCAATCAAACTTGTAGCAAACTAGCAATGAGACACAGCCTTGGTCTGACGCAAGAAGCAAGTCATTTGTAATTTTAACAAGTGGAGTTTCTGTGCTATGGTGGGGCCTGAAACCTGACTGAAATTCTTCATAGAGATCATTTTTTTGCAGGAAGGAGCAAAGTTGCGCAGACACAAGTTTTTCTAAAATTTTAGACACAAACAGAAGATTTGAAATGGGTTTGTAATTTGACAGTTCACTAGGATCTTGTTGTGGTTTCTTAATAAGAGGCTTAATAAAATTTTTCTGGTTTAATCACGATCAGATTTTTCTAGATCCTGCATTAAATTAATATTTTGACCTCACTATTCGGGGGAACAGACACAGTCTTTATAGATTGGACAGCGCAAGTTCTTCTATCATTTAAGCAGGTAGAACAAAAGTCATCATGGCAGTTATTTGAAATTTGACTTACTAGTCACATGGAGCGTAGCATCCTGGAGATGTTGTCCGACTGGAGTTCCGCTCCGACTCTGCTGGGGTGCAGGCCATCAGCGTGAAAAAGCCTAGGATGCTCCCAGAAAAGATTCCAATTATTAACAAAGAGCAGTTTCTGTTCTTTACACCATGACAATAACCATTCATTTAAAGCAAAAAGTCTACTGAACCTTTCGTGTCCTCGTCGATACGTGGGAAGCGGTCCTGACACGATAATCGTCGTCGTGGGCGATGTGCTGCGCACCGTCTAGATCAGGCTCCTGAAGTCCCTCTTCAGTGTCTGCGTCTGCCGCAGCTTGGTGTCGTTAATCCCTGCGTGAAGCACGACCGCTCCGGGGCTCTCGTCGCCCTTCAGGATCACAGATATCTGTGCAGAAACATCTAGAACGCGAGCACAGGAAAACAGGGGCCTGGCTCGCATCTTCCGCTGCGGGTGCAACCAGGGTCCGTGGTGTCCCGGCGCCGGAGTTAAGGACATCTGGGAAGATTGCGTCCTGGGTGCACCGGGCCTGTGCAGAGAAACACACGGAGCAGAGGTGGAGGGAGAGTTAGCAGCGCGCTGTATACTTACCCCGGACTTGTGAGCGTCAGCCCGGGATGTTTCCAGCTCGGCTCTCCGCTCTCTCAGCTGGGCCTGCCTCTCCACGGCCTCCAGCTCGAGCTGCATTCGGGAAAGTGTCCTCACCTGCACTCAAAGGTAGACACACATCCGCCATTAAAGCAAGTAACAGTGAGTAAAACAATGATAATGTGTGTGAATAGAGAATTAGCAATGTAAGCGAGATTAGCGGCAACCAGGTTGGCGATGCTAACGGGCTATATGCTAATAGCGGACTCGGGAAATCAAATAAAACTAGTGATAAGGCACTCTGATTGTTTTTGTTGTAGAATACGATAGGGGATACAGTATATTCACACGAAAATGGTGTATAAAATTGATTTTAAGATAAAAAGTAGACGATAAAGAATTAACTTGACGGAGCTCAAACTCAAAACACACGGCAGCAACAAACAAATAAAAAATGGTTTTTAAATTGTAAAATTATTTCACTATATTGCTGTTTATTTAATCTTTGATCAAATAAATGCAACCTTATGAGTATAAGAGACTTCTTTAAAACAACAACAACAAAATAATCTTACCAACCTGAGACTTTTGAATGGTAGTATATGTGAAATTTAATTATATTCATTGCAAAAAGCCCCCACATGAAGCTTAAATTTCAAGATATAACATTGTGGCAACCGAGTAAAGCAAGAGATTTGACAAAAAATTACTTCAATTGGTTTGATTTTCAAATAATTGAATATAAGGCTAGCGCGGTTCTACAGTTCACAATAATTCATTTTGCTAACTAAAAACTAAATTTTTCATTCGGTCTGAAGTAAAGTTCACACATGACGCATTCTAGCATTTATAGCAGCGTCTTTTGCATGTCTCAAAACCCCTGCGTTCAGTTCCATGCAGTTACACTCTATCTTGCTATTTTAAAACGCAAGAATGCATCCAGTGTGAACTGTTTTTGAGCGGTCTGCTCTCTGTAAATGTGATTTGGCGAGGCGTTGCCTTTAGTAGCAGCTGAATTTCAAGCACGAATTGCTCCAATGGTAGGAATATTCCTAATGTGGAATTTACATATGGGTCAGAGGGCATCCTTAAACTGTGTTATGTGTTTAGTCACATTATTTTATATAGTTATTAATTGTATTAAGTGGATAATGTTCAATTTAACAGTCCTAATTTTGAAAGGCAGCTCTGGTTTGTATCTGAGAGTCTTTGTGAGATTAGCTTCAAGTTAGAGCCCTGTCTGTGACACCAATTAAGTTATTTCCCTGGGCAGTTTAGGGTTTATTTAGAGTTTATTGTGATAATGAAAAGAAGAGAGAAAGATGGTTCTTTTTTAAATTTAGTGGATGCGCCATCATTCACTGTAAATCAAACCCAAACCTTTTACCTTTTAATTCCAATCAACAACCGATGGATAGAACCAAGTGCCCCCTACATTTTATGATAATCTGTTACATTGAAATGTTTGTCACAATGCAGAAGATCTTTTGCTGCTTCCATTTCATCACGACTTTAAGAACTTCCAAGCAGTCAACCTCAACTGGTTCTGAACATTTTTATTATTAGACTAGGAGGATGTTTACATGGCAACTTGTTTTATTTCAAAAGAGCAAGGAAGATCTTATTTTCCATTCTTTTAAACATCAAATTGGGCCTCTTAACTGAGTGCACACTACAGGATTTAAGCACACTTCAGAGAGACACTATGGTTGTCGAGGCTACGACAGATTTCAAGCTTGCTTCAGGCTTTGAAATATGTTCCATTTAGTCTTCAGTTGTGTTCACTATCCTGACAAGCGAGAGGGCAGCAATAAGCAACAGCCAATGAAGCGACGAGTGAGAAAGGCATTAGGAAACTGGAGCAAAAATAAATAGATGAAACCGAGCTGGGTGAGATTTTTGGAGCAGTTTGATGCTTTTCTGTGTTTTTCAGCTCTGTATCTTAGTTTTCCTGTTCTGAGCAATTCTGTATAAAACAATCACAAGCTTATCCTTCCTGCTGTCTGTTTACGTTGTCAAGAAACACTTCTCCCGTTTCTTTGTAAGTAAGTTTGTGAGGGAATATATTCTGGGATCTTCGCTTCAGTTAAGGTCTGCGATCAGTTGTGTTAGCAGGGAAACATTCCTTTGTACTTGGCTGTGTTTGATCATGCTGTCCAAATTTGTAGACATTTGCCATTGTGACACAAACTTCAGACTGAATCAACCTGTCCACCTCCGTTCTGCAGAAAAGGTAGAACTCTCACCGATGTCCACTACATGATGAATAAAACTTGTCCTCTCTTTCGCTCTTTTTTTGTACCTCCATGCTTAGTCGAATATACTGATCCTGGATTAGCTTTTATCTTGTACCGCTCGCCTTTCAGGTTAATTGCGTTTAATGTTTACAAATGATCAATATTCAATCAGAAGGCAAACGGGATGCCCGTGTAGATGAAGGAAAATGCGTAAGGGAAACCAATTCTGGACAAAGGACCATTGTGAAACTTGGTCATGCTAGACAACTCTTTCTTTGTCCCATATTGTCGTAGTTGGGGGAAAATAGCTCCTGTTTTTGGTCTTTTATATGACAGAAGAGACAAAGAATGGATTGTGTTGATGTAAGACAATAGACACAATACTTTCCCCATAATTTGAGAGGAACCCACAATCAATTCTAACTGTTTCAAATTCAGTCCAGAGTGTTACGTTCATTGAATCTTATCTTAGGTTGCTGGAGCTACCTAGCTTTTCTAGCACAAGTTAAATAATGTAGATATTTCATCCTCTGAATTATTGTAATTACTTTGTTTGTTTCCTTAACTGAGTTGGTCAAGATATACACCAGGGGTGTCCAATCCTGCTTCTGCAGGGCCACCTTCCTGTCAAGTTTTTTTCTTTTTTTAAATAATTATTTTTGGTGTTTTATGCCTTTTATTTAGATAGGACAGTAGGTTGACTCGACAGCAAGCGAAGTGGGTGAGAGAGAGGGGGGTGGGATCAGGAAAAGACCACGAGCCGGGACTCGAATTCGGGACGCCCGAAGAGCAACAGCGCTACATGTTGGCGCGCTGCCCATGAGGCCATCGACTCTGACTTCCTGTCAAGTTTAACTCCAGCACACCTGTTTGGTAGAGCTTGTTTAATTGGTTAAGGCTTAAGCTAAATTCTGATGAAAGGTGCAGGATTAGACACCACTGAAATACACATTGAGCTGGGATTTATAACTGGGGGCTCGTCCGGGATCTGAAATGAGCTGGGTTTTAAAGTCAAGAATGAGCATATTACAATCCAGTTACGATATTTATGCATCACTGCACATTTGGGGCCAGTGAAACTTTCCATGACTTTACCATGGTGAGTTAAATGGATAGCCTTGGAGAAACCTGGTTCTGAGTGCTGTTTCTCAGTGCTGATGGATCTCCCCTTTGAACCTCCATCCTGTTAGTTATAAACCTAGATCTTTCACCAATACGCAAAGTATCTAGTCAATATCAGGTTAAGATCTGGTATATACCTATATATTGTAACGGAAGTCTAACTGAATTGCATTTGCTTAAGATTTTACTTCTATATTCCAAACTTGCTTAATTGTCTCATTTGCAAGTTGTAATTTTCCATGCACAGATGGGGCCAAAATTATGTGGCTTATACGAAATGAGCTGTCTGAATATTTAGACTAGCTTCACTTCTTTAATATTAGACAAATGAACAACCCCAGGATGAATTCTATGGATAGACTATGCAGTAAATCAGAGATCCATGATGCTATAAACGGAAGGAAGATCAGTGGTTGGTCATATCATTGGATTGGTACTGGCAAGTTTTCCCATTTATTTTTATTTTTTTTTTCTTTTTTCCCCTGACTGATATCATGCTTGTGAAATCACGTTCCATTTCATTTAATATACAATTCTCTTCCTACATCCTAAACGACGCATTACTAACCAAGCCTTGCCAGCTGCCACCAATCACACGCAAGCAGGACGTTGTCATGGCACCTATCCACATAGTGGACGTCTCTTTTTGGACACTATAGAGAGAGGGGGAAAAAAAAACAGAGAATGACATATAAGTTTAGATGGATACTTAATTACATTTATATGCAGCGTTTGATATTTTGCACATTAAAGGATTAGTTCACCCAAAAATGAAAATTAGCTTGTGTTTTACTCACCCTCGATGCATCCTAGGTGTATATGACTTTCTTCTTTCAGACGAATCCAGTCGGAGTTATATTCAAAATTGTATATTCAAAAACACGCTTTATTTGACGACTTGTGGACTGTTCAACTGCATGACCCACTGACTGCAATGATAGAGCTTGGAATAGCCAGGACAATTTTTTATATAACGCCGACTGGATTCGTCTGAAAGAAGAAAGTCATATACACCTAGGATGCATCGAGGGTGAGTAAAACACAGCCTAATTTTCATTTTTGGGTGAACTAACCCTTTAATTGTCCAAGACAAATCTAGATTAGGTTTACCTGAGTTTTTTTTTTTTTTTTTTTTGCTTACAGATTAAATGTTTATAATGCTATACATTTTACACTTTATGCAAGTTTCCTGTGATTGGTTAACCTCTTTGAATGTAAAATGAGTAGTTGCTGACAATTGCTGCAATATGCTGACAAGTTTTGAATGATGTTTTTCTTTATTTTTTTGCTGGTCTTCGAGTTGTGCATTGTGAACATTGAAGTACATAGAAATCCTTTTTTCACTGTTTAATTGTAAACCATTGGTTAGACTTAATTCTTGCAGTTACAGTTCTGTTCCAATTGCATTTAGGAATGGGCAGTTTCATTTATTATACAACCTGTGTAGTAGAAAGTCTGCTGTACTGTAAACACAGTACAACACTGTGCTAGTCAAATGGAGATTACACTAACACAACCATGTTGACAGCATTTAAGCTTGTCTGTGATATTGCATTGGCTTGACCCCCGGCCCCTGATTTCTGACCCCGAGTGATTCCATCAAGAGATGGCTGACCAAGGCCTCTGCAGGTCAACAGGCCATTTAGATCAATTCCACCTTATTGACACTGAAAGTGTTCCACTTTTTGTTCTATAGTGAAAGCGTGGAAATCTAAAGTGCTGTGGAAATTAGGTTCTCATATTTCTCAGAGACGTGGCCTATAAGTGCAGTGATTTCCTAACCAGGGGTATGCGTACCTCAGGTTCCTTAAGGATGCTGCCAGCCTGCCCTTTATTGCACCTCCTAAATTTCAGTTTGGTTTGACTAGCTCTAAGAAAGCCATTTTGCTTTTATACATTTATAATATACAAATAATTGTTAACATCCATTTGTTTTATCATTTGTTGACAGAATCACGATTTTTGGGACTGGAGCGAAATGGCTGGCTGTGCTGGAGGAGAGAAATCTGAAACCTGGTGAGCTGCAATGAATTACAACCCCTCTTTCGTTTCTTCACTTTTTCTGTCATAGAATTGTCACTATACAATATTTCAGTACCGATACCAGTGATGTTTCATATTTCTTAATATCAAGTTAAGATCAATGTTGTTGATCATTCCTTTCTTTAAAGAATCTAATATTAATATTATCAAAATTAAAAAGTGGCATGTAACCAAGTATTTTAGTGGGGTAAACATTGCTTCAAAATTTTCAATGAATTTTCCACAATCGTTAATGTTCTTTGATTCATTTTAATGACATATAGGACAGTGGCTACTAGTTTATTATACATTTACACTGCGAAGCCTAATGCTCTGATTTTTTGGCAAATAATTTTTTTCTTGCTTGTTTACAAATCTACTGTTTACCTTGTCAGAAAGCACTTTGTTGCACTTGTTTGACTATTCATGTGCATCTGTGAGGCATGTGCACCAAATTGGGTCTGTACTTGGTACTTCCGATATGCTCTAAAGACTAATAAATGTATGTGTATGGTTTTTGTTAGCTTCAATTTGCTTCCAAAGTGCTGTCTTTTGACATCCCTAGGACACATTAATTTGCCCACTTTCCCAGCAGTCTCTAGATGCCACTGATTGATTCACTAAACTGTGTGTGCGTGCTTGTAAATATTCAACAATGAGACAAACTAAAAGTGAATTAAAATGCAATTTACAGTGGAAGATGGAGTTTATGCGTAACGACTACCGTGAGAGCGATCAAATTAGTCTTTCTTTATTTAAAAAAAAAAAAAAGGAGGTACTGCACAAACTCCTCTGATGAGGAGACACTTTTATGAGCACCTGTGGTTTCCCATGCAGGGATTAAAAAACAACTTGAAATGAAAATCAAACCTGTTTGGTCAAGATATGCAGCTATATAAGAATGTCCATCAATGGAAAAAAATATTGTTGTACTAATGCTAACCAGCCAAACCCTGACACCTTGGATGTAACTGATGCTGTATAAATTAAATTGAATTAATGTGGAGTCATACTGAATGAAAGTGATAGTTCGCCCAAAAATAAAAATTCCATCTTCAATTTGTTCCAAACCTGTATGTGTTTGCTGAACACAAAAGACATTTTGAAGAATGCGGCTAAACAAACCGTTGCTGGTAGCCATTGACTTCCATAGTATTTTTTTTTTCCCATGCTGTGTGGAAATCAGTGGCTACCAACAACTGATTAGGTTCCCCAAATTCTTCAAAATATATTCTTTTGTGTTCTACAGAAGAATGAAATTCATATTCAGTGCTTTGTGAATGCCAATTCATGTGGTCTTTAAAGAAGAAGCTCTTGCTGTGCTTGAGGTATTGGAGGAGTTAGGGGATTTATTTGTTTTGCATGTGTGTGTGGTTCAGTGGATCATGTGTTGGGGGTCAGAGACGTGCTTCCTGGCCCTCTGCTGCTCCCTTTGGCTGCTTGACATTTCAGAGCGACACCTGTTAGCCTGTGGGGTGTGGCACTGACTCTGATAACCGGGGCGAGAGACCCTCTCTACACGGGACCCCAGACGGGTGGCCTGGCATGTCGCCTGCATACATTTCAGCACAGCTTAACATGGTTCATAATTCTGATCACTGTGAGCCATACCCATCTGCCTCCAGACCACAGACATTCTGAATAGTTGACAGCGAGCTGAGCTTTATACTTCAGGACTGTTTATAATATAATGTAGAATTTGGGGCACTTGACATTTTACATTTTGATTTGAATAAAAGTGTTTTATTAAATACATGCTATGGTTATTGCAAAAAAAAAAAAAGCAAAACAAATAAATCCCCTAACCCCCCCAAGACCTCAAATGCACAAAGAGCTTCATCTTTAAAGCGACATGAACTGGCATTCATAAAGCATAAAATATGTTAGTTACAGAATGAAAATATAGGTAGATTGATCTGAATTTAAATATTTGTGGCTATTACTGTTCAGAATCTTTGGAGGCCTTGCAAGCAGTAGTGTTTCCTTTAGGAACTGCAAATTTTTTTTTTTTTTTTTTTTTTTACTAAGATGTTGTTTTTCTTGCCCATCCACAGCAAACACACACAACCTGCAGACCCTCCACACACTCCTTTCTACAGGATCTCCATTGAAGCCTCAGAGCTATGAGTATGTGTACAGCTGTATTAAGAACAATGTGCTACTGGGATCCATATCAGGTGGGCATTTTATTTTTTCTCTCTCTCTCTCTCTCTCTCTCTCTCTCTCAATTCAGTTCAATTCAGCTTTATTAGCATGACTGTGTAACACAATGTTGCCAAAGCGTTACCATATATATAAATAATAAAAAGAAACAATAAAAAAAACAACATGGATAAATAAAATCCATCTAAATAGATGAAAAGATAAAGGGAGTCAGTTTAGAGTTAACCTGTTTAACACCTAACATTGTGAATGGCTAACGCTAATTTTTAATGACAGCGGTGTTGTCAACTTCTCCAAGTATAAAGGGCATTTTCTCAGTACCGCTAAGTTCAGTAAATGATGGAATCAGTGCTTCAAATCTGGGGGGAAGTGTTTCCCTCACATTGTGATATTTAGGACAAATCGGCAGGAAGTGTTTCTCCTCTATTTGCTGTAGATCACAGTGTCTACAGATCCTGTGCTCTTGCTCTGTCCATGTGTCTCTATGTCGTCTTCTCTCTATTTCTAAATCATGGTTCCTTAATCTGTATTTGGAGAGGATTTGTCTTACTTTAAATGGTTTAATTTATAAATAATTGACAAATTTAGTAGTTCTGTTTTCTCTCTCTCTTTCTTTTTCATTCTTTATTCTACTCTGTTCTATTCTGATCAGCCCACTCTTCAGTTTCCCTCCAATCATCAGTGCTCTAGCTTCTCTTGATGTGTGTGTGTGTGTGTTCTGGTATATATGGTTTATGAGGACACAAATGTGTGTAATGACATGGGTACTACAATTTAAACATGGTTTATGAGGACACTTCCTGTGTCTCCGTAAACCAAAAGGGTTAAAAAAACCATACTAAACGGTGTTTTATGAAATCATAAATTGCCAGTAGTTTTCTGTAAGGGGTATGTTTAGGTGTAGGTTTGGTGTAGGGCGATAGAAAATACAGTTTGTACAGTATAAAAACCATTACGCCTATGGAGAGTCCCCGTAAACCACAAATGCAAGTGTGTGTGTGTGTGTCGCAGTGTGATCACATGCCTGCAGGGCCCTGTGGAAACAAATTAGCATCAGCGTTAACAGCTGTGGTGGACTGCTGATTTTGTGTGCATGTGTGTGTGTTTGTGACCGGGGTCTCGCAGCACGTCTCTCTCACACACCACCTGTGCCCAGTTTCTCCCTGCGGTTTCACCAGATGAGCTTTGCTCTCATGGCAGGTCAGCGGCAGCCTGCTAGAGTCATGTTATTCAGATTGAACCTTTCAGAGCGGTTTGTTATTTGACTTCTTATGTGCAGTGCTTGTTCCTTCATGAGCTATTGCAAAGAAAACAAGGACGTTCCAGCTGTGATATTTTCAGTCTTTGCTATTTTATTATATATAAAACTGATAGCTGTTGAGTCAGTTGTCATGTTGTATTTAGAATAAAGTATGGCTATGACTGTTTCACCATACAGAACTTGCAGCTATGAATTGTTTTAGTCTTTGCTGATTTGTTATTTTATATTTCATTAAAAAAAAAAAAGTCAGATTCTTGATGCTGTTTGGTCAGTAGACATGTTTTATGATAAAGCATGGCTTTATAATCTCTTCACAGAACAGAAGTTCTCATTTATATTATACTATATGGAATATTATTGAAATTTATTATGACTTTACAGTAGTAACAATAACTGTAATGAAGGGGTCATCAGAGGTGCATTTTCCACAAGTTGATATGATTCTTTAGGGTCTTAATGAAAAGTCTGTAACATAGTTTGGTTAACATTTCTCAATGGTAGTGTAAAAAAACACCTTTTTTACCCTGTCGAAAACAGCTCTTTTCAGAGCAAGCCGTTTTGTAGCATTTTCCTTTAAATGTTAATGAGCTCTGCTGCCCCCCCCCCTCTCTCCCGAGCCGCTCTCTGAGGGACTGTTTACTTTAGCTGCATTCATCATGAAACTTGCTAGTTATCACATTATTATGAAAGGAGATTTGCAAAGACTTATTAAAAAACCTTACACTCACTTCTTCTGTAGGTGAAGTTGGATCACGAATGATTCGCGCGAACATAGACGCATTTAGGTAGATCGGGGGCGCATTCCCTTCAGAAACAAATGTAATCTACTGCGTCTTCAGCGGCTCAGGTGTCAGGAGTAAATGAGGACTGCTATGTTCATTATTACATCCAACAACAGAACACCTCAATCGCTTAGGAGTCATTCTTGTCTACATCTGCTCCGGCGGTGAAACAATGGTGGACTGATGACAGCTCTCTCAAGGCGGGTCTAAGGTAAGACGCCAGTCCAGTCTGTGCTGGAACGCTACTGTCAATCAAACTATCGTGGGAGGGGCCTGTCTGTGTGACGTCACTCAGGGCGGAGCTAAGATAAGACGCCAGTCCAGTCTGTGCTGGAACGCTACTGTCAATCAAACTATCGTGGGAGGGGCCTGTCTGTGTGACGTCACTCAGGGCGGAGCTAAGATAAGACGCCAGTCCAGTCTGTGCTGGAACGCTACTGTCAATCAAACTATCGTGGGAGGGGCCTGTCTGTGTGACGTCACTCAGGGCGGAGCTAAGATAAGACGCCAGTCCAGTCTGTGCTGGAACGCTACTGTCAATCAAACTATCGTGGGAGGGACCTCTGAGATCGGCTCTATTTGAGAAAGGGGTAAATATTTTAGTAGATAAACAAAAAAACCGTTGGGTGGATTTTTATCATTATAGTGTGGTTGTGTACACACACTGCCAACACACATTTCAGTTCAAACAACTTGTAAAAGTGCATGTAGCGTCCTATGACCCCTTTAAGTAAATATGTTTCATGTGGTTCTGCTTAATATGGTTATTATGATTTAGCATGGTAAATGTTTGGAAGAGTAAACTTTTAGAATTTTGTTAAAAAATGATCATAATGTGAGTCTAAAATTGACAATTTAATCGAATTGTCTTAAATGAGTGACAGATTTTGATGCGTTCGGAATACGTTTTTGCATATGTCTGCCGTGAAGGCTTTTTGATTTGCCATTTGGCTCACATTTGATACCATGACAGCAATCTCATTGAATTCTGGCACTTTTGCAGAGCACATGAGCCTCATAACTTTTCAGAAAAAGGCTTTGACTGACGTTTCTTGACTCCAGAGGTTTTTGAAATGTCAGGCTACCTAAAGATGTGTGCTGGAAAACAGCAGTGCAGATACGCGATGCTTGTCTTCAGCTCTGAGCTCAGATAGCCTGTTGGCCCTATGAGATACTGAGAAACCGCTTTGTCCGGGATCAGCGCTGCGCACGCCTCCCCTCAGATACGTGACCTCTGCCAACCCGAGGCAGATTTGACCTTGACCCTAATGTCAAGCAGAGCATATGTGACAGGGCTTGTTTCCCGCCGCTCCTGCTTCTGTGCCAGCCAGACTTCTGAGCGCAGAGTGCCAGCTGGCAGGAGACTTTAACACTTTCAGCCACCCAGAATCACCTGAATCCAATAGACCCCCCGATATCATCTACCATCTGTCACATACACACATAAACACACATATATCTGTTAGTCTCTTTTATAATCCGACTTTACAGCCGTTACATTTGTCAATTACTGAGACCTATTTTTACTCTATCCGACACCACCTCTCCCTGTTTTTCTCCACAAAACCTCATTATTTTGAAATATTGATTGTCTTGCTTTTTTCTTTTGGGTTGCAATATCAAATATCTGTCTCTTATCTCCCCCCCGTCTCTCTCTCTCTCTCTCTCTCTCTCGCTCTCTCCACCCTTCTCTGTGCTGGCATTATAATGACTGAGCATCCAAGCTGCTCACACATGTTTTAGGTTCAGTCTTTATACTGGGTGACTCATTAAATATAGGCCTAAACTTACTCTGTTGAAGTACAATAACTTGCATACTTCTAGCTGCATAAGCATAAGTTTGTGTATTGTTGATTCAAAATCTGTCGATGCAATTCATAACACAAGTACCCATTGCATTTCTCCTCATTGCCACAGGGGGCGCTATATTGTGTGTCAGTGTAAACTGTTATTGCCTTCAGTTAGTTCCCTCTTTCAGGTCAGCTGCTGGAGAACCTTGCACTTAGAATGTAAATGTAGTTTTTTTAAATTTAGTAATGTCGCTGCTTTTGTGTTTTTGGCTTTTTCTCCAAGTCAAGTCACCTTTATTTATATAGCGCTTTTAACAATACAGATTGTGTCAAAGCAACTGTACCGCATTAATAAGGAAAATATTGTGTCAATAATGCAAAATGACAATAGTAAGCACTCAATTTTCAGTTAAAGGCAGTTCATCATTGAATTCAGCGATGTCGTCATCATCCAGCTCAGTTCAGTTTAAATAGTATCTGTGCAATCAAGTCGACGATATCGCTGGAAATGAAGTGTCCCCAACTAAGCAAGCCACAGGCGACAGCAGCAAGGAACCAAAACTCCAACAGGGACAGAATGGAGAAAAAAAACCTTGGGAGAAAACCAGGCTCAGTTGGGGGGCCAGACGACCAGACGAAACCAGCAGTTCAGTTCCAGGCTGCAGCAGTGTCACATTGTGCAGAGGACTCAACTGGTTCCTGTGGTCTTGTCCCAGTGGCCACCATCAAAAAGATTGTTTGACATGTGCTGAGGTTACAAAACCAGCATTTTATTTGTAGAGAAGTATCGTGTGAACCAGTTTCATTCCCGAAGAATGACCTGAGTTTGTTGGGCCAAATAGATATTTGAGCACCTTTGTTCAGCTTCCTTTTGCTTTTATTGTGTCTGGTTAAACAAATCAATAGGGAAGAGCTGTGGTATAGAAACTGTGATCCATATAAATGGAGACAGGAGAACAAAGCTATCAGCAAATTATGCCAACAAGTTTGCATTAATGAAAACAGCCCATCAATTCCCAAAATGTAAACTAAATTTCTAGAGCTTTTTATCTGTTGTGAAGATATTTTGAAACATAAAGGATGTCTGATATTGAATTTCTCCACAAACCTGTGAGATGTTCGTGCCTTGAAGATTTTGATCAACTGTATATTAACATCTTTAATATTCCCTCAGGTGGCACAGACATCATTTCATGCTTCATGGGTCAGAACATGGCGGTGCCTGTTTACAGAGGGGAAATTCAGGCCCGAAATCTGGGCATGGCCGTGGAGTCCTGGAACTGTGAAGGTGAGATATAGCTCATGTTTATCTCTGATTTTATGGTCAAGACAATGGAGGTCGTCTTTTATTTTATTTTACTGTTTTTAATATAAAATGAATAGTTTTGGATCTAAAATCTGGTTTGATTAGATTCACATATGAAGTAGATAAAAATGTGTATATATATATATCGTCAAAGAATCCTGGAAAAAAAAAAAATCATTGTTTGTGCAAAAATAGTAATCAGCATGACGTTTTCAACATTGTAATTAATATGAAATGTTTCTCTAAATCAGCATATTGGAATGATTTCTGAAAGATCATGTGACACTTAAGACTGAATGACTGCTGAAAACTTAGTTTTGCCATCACAGGAATAAATTACATTTTAAAATATATATTTAAATAGAAAAGTTATTTTAAATTAGTAGTAGTAATATTTCACATTATTAATGTTTCACAAAAACATTAAAAAAATAAATCTCACTAACCCCAAGCTTTTGAGTGGTCGTGTAGATTTATTATATAAATAATATATATTATTTAAAGCCTATATATTTACAATATCTCCTACAATAATGCTGAGAGCCTGGCAGAATAATTATGAATTAACAAATGTAAATTATTATTATTTTTTTTTCTCTTCAATTCAACAATTTATTGCTTCAATAGACCTGTTGTGTTTGGTGTGTATTTCAGGGAAGCCTGTTTGGGGCGAGAGCGGGGAGCTGGTGTGTTTGAAGCCCATCCCGTGCCAGCCCACTCATTTCTGGAACGACGAGAACGGCAGCAAATACCACAAAGCCTACTTTTCTACTTTCCCAGGTAACCCTTCACATGACATCACACTAGACCTCTTTGTCTCACTCTAGACGGGCAGCATTTAAGGGATTATAGGCATCATTCCAAAATGCATTGCTTCAGACTCATAGCCTATACTCACATTTGCCTATAGAGGCTCACAGATGCACTGTGCTTCCTTCCTTCAAAGCTCTTATACTGTGAAGTGCTCACAGTGAAGTGTGCTTTCTGTCCGATTTAGAAAGCAAATGATTCCTCCCTTTGATTTGGAAAACAAACGTGCCGCTTCAGAGTGTTCAGAAGAGGCTGCAGCTTTTCCGCCGTATTGATTAAATGATTTCTGAGGGTGAAAAGGGAAAAAAAGAACCTGCCAGCTTTTGTTAGCACAAGAAAAATCTCCTTGAAGCCTCACTGCTGTCAGTTTGGAGAAGTAGGAAAAGGCCAATCGGGACAGTTCAGCCTCATTAGCGTCCTCTGCTTCTTTCTATAACTATTTGTCCAATCCAAATATCTGTGTGTATCTCCTCATTCAGGACTCTGGGCCCACGGTGATTACTGTAAGATAAATCCAAAAACGGGAGGAGTCGTCATGCTGGGGAGAAGGTAAGTCTCGCTTTTTGTTCTGCTTTGTTTGATCATCTTCTCTAGTTTATGCTTAGATGCTTATAATCTTGCTGTTATTGTATGATGATACTGTGAGATTAGTATTGGTATAAAGCAGTATTTGTTCTGTCTGTATTTTCAGTGACGGAACCTTGAATCCTAATGGTGTTCGGTTTGGGAGCTCAGAAATTTATAACATTGGTGAGAAATAAATACTTCTTTTTTTTTCCTGCTTTAAAGCAGGCAAAATTCTCAAAATTTTTAAAATTAAATTTATTAATTTAATTAATACATTTTTATATATACATACTGAAAAGTTTTAGGTCAGTAAGTTTTTGTTTTTTAAATGCTCACTAAGGCTGCATTTATTTGATCCAAAATACAGTAAAATAGAAATATTGTGAAATGTTACAATTTAAAATCTTAAATTCTAATATAATATATTTTAAAATAATATACTCCTGTAATGCAAAGCCATTACTCCAGTCTTGAGTATCACATGATGCTTTAGAAATCATTTTAAAGTGCTGATTTTGGTGCTCAATAAATGGTTTGAAAACTGGTTAATATTTTTGTGGAAACTATGATTGATATCGGTCAATATCGGATGCATATCAGCTGATTTAAAAATTTTAGTTGTGTATGTTTATTCCACCTATTTTTATGTTTAGATTACCTTTGCTGTCATTTAAAGCTCACTTAAAGTTAGTATTTTAAAAACATTATAGTTTAATAACAGCATGAAGTGTAATCTCATCTTTTGAAAAACTAAAAGAAACAAAAATGTATAATGTTCCATACTGTATTTTTATTTTTTTTTAAGGTCATGCCATCAGTTAGATTTTTAGTGACTTAATTTAAACAAGAATTGTATCTAAATAATTACAAATGCCGATAATTATTTAGAATGTGCTAACATAATAGCAAGACAGCATTTAAGACCGTTGTTTTGCCCTCTCTTTAACCAGTGGAAGCCTTTGAGGAAGTTTCCGACAGCCTTTGTGTCCCTCAGTACAACAGTGATGGAGAGGAGAGGGTGATTCTGTTCCTGAAGATGGGACCCAATAAGAGCTTCAGTCAAGAGCTAGTGGGGAAGATCCGCGGTGCTGTCAGAGTAGCTCTCTCTGCACGACACGTACCAGCCTTGATACTGGAGACCAAAGACATCCCGGTGAGCTCAATTTGCACGTTCGTTCTTTATGTAGCTATTCCTTCACTTGCTTTATTTTCTGTACTTTTCCACCTGATTGACTTTTCATTTCCTCTGCCTGCAGTACACTATCAGCGGAAAGAAGGTCGAAGTCGCAGTAAAGCAGGTGATCGCAGGTAAGGACGTCACTCAGCGAGGGGCCTTCTCAAACCCAGACTCCTTGGACCTATACAAGAACCTACCTGAACTCCAGAACTTCTGAGCGCTTGTGTGAGGTACATCTGAACTCCGGAAAGTCCTGTGTTTCTGGGTGCCTTCTAAGGGTTCAGATTCTCTGGACACCTGTTGGAGCTTTGGACCATCTGGAGGAATTTCTAGAGCTTTCAAAGATCAAAGTTCTTAGTTTTCTCTGCCTGTTGTGGCACACTCAGCTACCTTTTGGAACCGATGGAGTCTGTACATGTAGCACTTCCTCAAAAGTGTAACTGGTTCCTCTTGGATCTCAAAGTATCTTATCTGCTTCTGTTATTACGTCCACCAAGTGTTATATTTCCAAGAGACATACTGAACTCCCAAGTAATTCACAAATGATTTGTCTTTATCTACCATGTCAGTCCCATATCCTCCCTCTCATTTTTTGATACAATGTCACTTTAATCTTAATGAAGGTGTAGGAAAATCTGTCCGTGACTCTTTTGAAGCTCTAAAATGACACTTTATTCTCATAAATCTTCAGGAATCAAATACACAGATATGTTACTGAACATTGTGGATTTAAGATTATATTTCTTGTGGTAAAGTTGGGAGCCATTTCTCTAGTAATATAGATTTTTTTTGGGGCAAACCAACTACTAACATTTACGAAGCAAAGTATTACTGGTACAGTTTCCGGATTACGACCTGTTGCCGTAATAAAATCAATGCAACTTGTGTCAAATTTTCCCCTAAAGCCTGACTTCCTGTCTGGAAACATGAATATATTTATATTTTTAACAATATCCTATGAGTAAATGGCGATTCATCACATCTGCTGTATTTGTAGGGTATATTATAGTGTCCAGAACTACGCTCTGTTGTCTACTGAGTGTGGATTTGAACTGAAGCTGATGTAGCTCACTGGCCAAAAAGATTTCCATATATTTTTACATATATACTGTATATATTTGATTCCGTATATGCAGCTGCATGTTGCGTGCTACACTAGCTTCCCCTCTTTCTCCGTCTCTTTCGGTGCGCCTTATATCAAGTTTTCATCAACAACTGAAGCTCATCTTATTTCTTTGAGCCATTCTTTGGTATACAGCTTTATCTTTGCAGTCCCCAAATACACTGGCTTACTTTTTTCATATTTCCCATCATCGGAACACTGCACACATATGAAAAAAGCTGCTTTGTTTGTTTGTTGTTTGAGGTTTTGAAAGTCAGCAAGACGGTTTCAGTGACATGATGTCCAGATTACATTAGATTATATAATGTTTGCATTAGGAGTAAAGGGAAGAATTCTGGGCAGTCGAAATGTATCTAAAACCACAACGAAAACTAGAAAATATTGATTTATGTGAAATGTTGATTTATTGAATTATCGGATTCAAGCTCTTTGACGTGTACTGATGATGCATTTACACTCGCTTTGCAGCATATCGCAGAAACATTTATCAACAGCAAGCCACCATCCAGAAAATGCTTTTTTGTGACACTGAGAGAGGATATGCTGTAGCTGCTCGCATCAAAAGCTTGAAAATGTGCTGCGTTTTAATCATTTTAAAATAATTTTGCGCTAGTAATGTTATTTCAGCAGTTGTTTACAACAGAGAAGCCTCACAGGCTAGTATTGATGTACATTTCAAGTTTTAATGGGTCATATTTTGGGGATAAATTTGGGTTTTGTGCATGGGTCTGTTTGGTTCAGGTAATGTAATCTGGGTTTGTTACACGTTGGAAAATGAATTTTTAACCTGTGAGTAAATCCATTTGACCTCAGTGAGGACTCCTTACTTGGTTTCTTAAAAGAAACTACACAAATTTTTTATATACACGATAAAGGTTAGGCATAATGAAACTCAAAAGGGTGGACTGGCCCTTTAAAAGGCTCATTTCTTTCAAATGGAAATGGTTCATAATAGAGGTGCAGATGGCAAGCAGTTGTGCAGATCGCCTGAATTAAATCAGTCCTTATTTCCGCTTCAGACAAGCAGGGACGGGTCTGTTTCACCTCATGGCCACCCTTGTGCCACCATATGCCCCATATTTGCTCAGTTTTGCTGACAGGACTTGCCTGGTCTGGGACTGTGGACATAAGGAAAGCTACCAAATCCTTATTTATTGATAGTCACTGTGGATTTCACTGTAACCTATGCCTTATTGAAAACATATGTCCCCCAACATTTATTAAATTTTTCCACATTTAGCAATTTCATGAACATTCCATGGAGATGTATTCCATTTTATTACCTTTTTTTCTGCTTCTTTTTGATACATGGAAATGGAAATACTGGAAATAATTGTCCTTATTATTGTATTACATTAAATGCATTTGGTGTACTACTAGTAAATGACAGGTGCTTTCTTCTTGGTGGCTAATTTAGTGTTCCTGCTTTGAAATAACATTATTGTACATCGCAGAATGTGAATAATGTAGTAACTACTAATATAGTTGAGAATATATTTGTTATGAATATATTATGCCCATATGCTGTATATCATTGGACCGCTTCAGTTATGTCCACTAGGAGCATACATGTATTTCATGTATAAAGATGCTTATTGTACTCCTAATTAAAGAACTAAAAAACAATTCTGGCCTGCCGTGATTTTTTTTTATTATCCTGCATGAATTTGCAGTATTATTTTAATGCTTATTTTAATTATTTGGATATCAAGCAGGGACGATTAATCAGCTGATATTTGGCCATTTTGAGAGGTAACTCTCAAAATGTCCGTCCGTCCGTGTAAATATTTAAATAAAATATTAAGATTTTAATTATGAATCATAATATTAAAATATATTTGAATGTTTATATAAAATGTAATATTTATATGATTGATAATGTTATTGTGGATGATATTGATTAATAATGTATTTTGTTAAGATGATGAAAATACTCGTATGCAAAATTAAATTACAACAAAGTTATTACAACTTCATGAAGGCAAAAACAAAAGTGTCATCCTAACTGGTGGAACATGTGGAAGTTTTTTCAGATATGCAGACCTCAATAAAAGATATCCGAAGCTTTCTTTTTCAAAATGTTTACAAGCCTATTTGTTTTTCTATCTGAACTATGCTTTGGTGCTTTTTATTATTAGCATTTAGCATTGTTTGTTCCCTGCCGTCCCTGTCCTTATTAGATCAGACCCCTAAGAATCCATTTAAAAACCCATATCGGTCCACCCCTAAGCATATTGAATTATGAAACATGAATTTGATTAAATTTATATAGAATAAGCATTTACATGTAATGGAAAATCGTATTCTGATAGCCTTCTGGAAGCAAGGTTTATTGCTGTTCTTTTGGACATAGAGTAAAAAGTTAATTTTTTGATGGCCGTTCACGGCAGGATCCCAGAACTCCTCTCGAAAAATAAAAGGTGCAGTGAGACGCTGTGGCCGGCTCATTTTAAACCAGATTCATCTCACTCTCCACCCTGATGTTTTCAATGTGATGATCAAAATGAAATCCTATCTGTGAGAGAGAGAGAGAAAGAGAGACAGCCTGAACTGAAATGAAAGGTTTCAAAGATCAGGCAACACCATCCCCATATGAATGCTGTCATTTATAGTAAGAACAAATTTGTGCGGGTTCAATTTTGAGGCTCATTGAAGAAGGAAGGAAGAGGAGAGGGCCAGAGGGTCAGGTGCACGAGTGCGTGTGAAGTATTGTCACCCGTCTTCCTAGAGATGATTGAAATGTTCAGGCTTGTCTGTCAGCAAATTGCCTCTGCTCAACATGTAATCGGTCGACCGGCCACTCGCAGAGAGCATTTTACATCTAAGTGTGAGTGCGTGTTTAAATGGAAGGGTAGGGGGTATTCATTTTGAAGCGGATGGAAAAAGGAGCCGGGTTCTGACAGAAACATGAACACAGAGGGGAGCGGCGAGATGAAGGACGTCACAGCATATTGGAAAAACCTTGTGATGTAGACACTGATTAAAAGCGCAATACAGAATATGTGCATACATATGAGCTCTGCTTCAAAACTCGGTGAACTTTCTACTGCCACCTTAAAAGGGAGCATACTAACCATCATGGAACTTCATAATTGACCGATTTGAAATGCTCTACATCAGAATGCTCAAAGTAAATAGCACTCTGCATGAGAGATTCAACTCAGTTTTACATTTTTATGTATGTGTTTGTGTGTGTATATATATATATATATATATATATACAGTATCTCACAGAAGTGAGTACACCCCTCACATTTTTGTAAATATTTTATTATATCTTTTCATGTGACAACACTGAAGAAATGACACTTTGCTACAATGTATAGTAGTGAGAGTACAGCTTGTTTAACAGTGAAAATTTGCTGTCCCCTCAAAATAACTCAACACACAGCCCTTAATGTCTAAACCGCTGGCCACAAAAGTGAGTACACCCCTAAGTGAAAATGTCCAAATTGGGCCCAAAGTGTCAATATTTT